AAAAAAAAAAAAAAAAAAAAAAAAAAAAAAAAAAAAAAAAAAAAAAAAAAAAAAAAAAAAACTTTTATAGAAAGGTTATTTGGAAAAAATAAAAACAAAAGAATCTTTAAAAGAAAAAACAGCAAAAATTCAACAGACAAAAATTAAACCCATACAAAAGTAATGTATTTGTTAGCTCATACTTCAAATTGGCAAGTCATTTTCCCAAATGACAGACATATATTCTGTAAGATCACTGCAATCACTGCCAGTTGAAAGGGGAAGATGTTAACCAATTATTTAAATGTGCTTTTTCTTTGAGATGGAGTTTTGCTCTTGCTGCTCAGGCTCGAGTGCAATGGTTCGATATCAGTCCGCCTCCCAGGTTCAAGTGATTCTCCTGCCTCAGCCTCCGAGTAGCTGGGATTACAGGCGCCCATCACCACGCCCAGCTAATTTTTTGTATTTTTAGTAGAGATGAGGTTTCACCATGTTAGTCGGGCTCCTAACCTCAGGTGATCTGCCTGCGTTGGCCTCCCAAAGGGCTGCAATTACAGGCATGAGCCACCGCACCTGGCCTAAATGTGCTTATTAAACTAAGATTTTAATTCTTTTGGTTTCATTTTCTCATTTAAGGGTTCCAGGACTTTTTCTTCCTTGACTGAACTATATGAGCATACAAAACATGGTCTCTAAATAGTGAAATAAAATACTGTAGCACTGTGTTACAAAATGAAAGATAAGTAATGGTTTTTGTGAGTTAACAAGGAAGCTACACAAAATTAAGTCAACTCAGTTTAAAAAGTTATAAAATAGAAATTTTGGTTACACTTATATTTAAAAGACAATAAAATCAAGTCCCAACAGCATCAGGAACTTTACCAAAATGAGATGTTCTGATAGATAATCTAAATAAGGAAAAATAATAAAGCAGTAAATGGTAGGTTTTTTTTATTTTGTTTTTTTGAGACAGGGTCTTTAGGCTGGCTGCAGTGGCTCATGCCTGTAATCCGAGCACTTTGGGAGGCCGAGGCAGTTGGATCACATGCTGAGTTCAGTGGCATAATCTGTCACCCAGGCTGAGTTCACTGGCATAATCATGTCTCATTGCAACCTCAAACTCCTGGACTCATGCGATCTTTCCATTTCAGCCTCATGAATAGCTGGGACCACAGGTTTGTGTGCCACCATATTCAGCTAATTTTTGGATTTATTTATAAAGACAGGCGTCTTGCTAGGTTGCTGAGGCTGGTCTCAAACTCCTGGACTCAAGGGATCCTCCCACCTTAGTCTCCCAAAGTGCTGGGATTACAGGTTGTAAGCCACTGCACCCAGCCACAAAATGGGTTTTGAATTCGGGACAAGATTGCAAAAGAAATCTCTCCTCATTATCACTAGATAGCTGTATCTGTCTGTATGGGTCAGGTTTTCATAAAAAAAATATATACCTAGAAATAAAAATGTTCTAACATCAGATTATGGTAATGGTTGCACAATGCTATAAATTTACTAAAAATCAGCCAGGCAGAGGGGTTCACACCTATAATCCTGATACCTTGGGAGGCCAAGGTGGGAGGATCACCTGAGTCTAGGAGTTCAAGGCTAGCTGGGCAACATGGCAAGAACCTATTATCTGGAAGAAAAAAAAAAAAAAAAAAAAAAAAAAAAATAAAAAAAAAAAAAAAAAAAAAAAAAAAAAAAAAAACTTAAAAATTAGCTGGGCATGATGGTACGTGCCTGTAGTCCCAGCTATTCTGGAGAATAAGGTGGGAGAATCACTCACGCCTAAGAGCTCAAGGCTGCAGTGAGCTGTGATCATGCTACTGCACTCCAGTCTAGGCAACAGAGCAAAAACCCATCTCAAAAAAATAAAAATAGCCAGGCACAGTGGCTCACACCTATAATCCTAGCACTTTGGGAGGCCAAGGAAGACGGATTGCCTGAGCTCAGAAGTTCAAGACCAGCCTGGGCAACACAGAGAAATCCCATCTCTACTAAAATACAAAAAATTAGCCGGGCATAGTGTGCCTGTAGTCCTAGCTACTCAGGAGGCTGAGGCAGGAGAACTGCTTGAACCCAGGACACAGAGGTTGCAGTGAGCCAAGATGGCACCACTGTACTCCAGCCAGGGCAACAGAGTGAGACTGTCTCAAAAATAAAAAATAAAATAAAATAAAATTGGAAGCAATCAAACATTATGAAGATACTAGACATCAGCAGTGTTCACTATACACTATCTGGTAATTCTAGAGCTTCTAAACCTATGAGGCCACTTAGGGTCAGGGCTGGGGGCTACAGCAATGCCTTCTTTAGCTATTAACCAAGAAAAGGATAGCTTATAACAGGATATACAAGCAATTAGCTCACACCCTTATCAAAATGTCTCTAAAAGAGAAAGCCAGCTGGGTGTGGTGGCTCACACCAGTAATCCCAACACCCTGGGAGGCTGAGGCATGCAGAACACTTGAGGCCAGGAGTTTGAGACAAGCCTGGCCAACATGGTAAAGCCCTGTGTGTACTAAAAGTACAAAAATTAGCCAGGCATGGTAGCGCACACCTGTAATCCCAGCTACTGGGAAACGTGAGGCATGAGAATCCCTTGAACCCTGGAGACAGAGGTTGCAGTAAGCCAAGATTGCACCACTGCACTCAGCCTAGGTGACAGAGAGAGACCCTGTCCCAAACAAAAAAATAAATAAATATAAGAGAAAAAACATATAAGACATAGATAAGCGCAACCCAGATGAAACTACCCACTGCTTTGTCTTAGAACAGTGGCATATGGCTAATATAATGGTATTACACAAATTATTTAACTGTCTGTGGCTCCTATGGGTTCAGTTACTTATCATTTACTACATTCCATACACATTGCTAGGTTCTGGGAATATATAATTCTGATGAGAGAGAGAGAGAGATTTTCAATATACTGTGGTAAGTAATGATACTGTTTTTGCTGAGATCAGGTCTGTGAAAACACAGAAGAGAATCAGGTGTCACAGACAGGAGGTAGGATGGGAATGTCAGAGAAAATGTTGCTGAAGAGCTGACATCTAAACTGAAACTTCTAAGGAGTACAATTAGGAAAGGAAAAAAAATGAACATTCTAAGCAAAGGGAGCAAAAGCATGAGCAAAAATTTGGAACCATGAAACAATGTTAATGAGGAAAGAATTAGTGATCATTCGATCTTACTTACATAATGGTTCAAGGCATGGAGGGACATAAAGTAAAAAATAAAAATATAAAGATTTTTTCATAAAGCTTTAATTATTTAAAGTATGTTACTTTTACCCTTGGTTGATAACCCTCAATTAAGAAAATTATTGGTCTATAAATCTCATAAATCTGGGAACACTACTCTATATGATATATAGCCTTGAAGAATTAAGCAAGTGAATCTCTGGCTGACCTATCTTGTAGAAAATGGCTTGATAATGTGACATCTCCCTATATTTTCCTGCCCTCCCCCAAAACACCTGTTGTAAACATTGTTCAAACACTAGCAGTTTATTAAGGATAAAGTAACCAGAATTTACTTTTACAACATGAAGCAGAACACCATTAGTGACAGCAAATACTTGCTTTCATTTATCTCAGTCTTGGCATCAAATTCCGAAGTAAAGTTACCAGCAGGCATGGTGGTTCACAGCTGTAATCCCAGCAGTTTGGGAGGTTGAGGAGGGCGGATCACCTGAGGTCAGGAGTTCAAGACCAGTCTGACCAACATGGAGAAACCCTATCTCTACTAAAAATACAAAATTAGCTGGGCATGGTGATGCATGCCTGTAATCCCAGCTACTTAGGAGGCTAAGGCAGGAGAATCACTTGAACCCGGGATTCGGAGGTTACAGTGAGCCAAGATCACACCATTGCACTCTAGCCTGGGCAACGAGACGGAAACTCCATTTCAAAAAAAAAGAAAAAAGAAAAAAAACAGAAAATGTACCTTTAAAGCAATAAAGTAGGAATGTAGTGAGAGTATGGCAGATTTACAACTTTGCAATACTTCTGTGCACAATCTGAAGTTTGTCAAGTCTTTTCTCTTCTTCCAAAAACGATGCCATATTTATATTTTTCACGGCTTCAAAATATACTGCTAGTTTGTAAGGCCTGCTCTTGCAGGTGGAAGAAAACCGTACACCATAGAATAGAATACTCACCAATTATTTCATGTTTTTTCAATTTGGTAACCTGAACCCAACTTACCTGCTTTACATTGTATCCTGCTTTTGCACTAGTTTCAATAAACATAACATTCAGCTCTTTGGCTTTCCTCTCTCCCTCCTCAATTGACACTTGCCTGTAAAAAAAAACAAAACTTCTTACTTTTGAGACACGATACAGTACAATAAAGATGATAAAGAAAGCTCTGAAAATACCTTTCCTTGATATAAGGACTGGTTATACAGGTCAGATTAGTTTGAAAATTCATTAATCTGCAACACACTTGAAATTTGTGTGTTTCTGTGTGTGTACACTTAACATTTTTTAAAGACTTTTTTTTTTGTTACTGATTTGCTTTTACTTGACAGGGATCACCCTGTAATTTTTTTACTTTTAAAAACTCAATAGCTTGAGGACTGCTTGAGCCCAGGATGTTGAGGCTGCAGTGAGCCATTATCAGGTTAACACATCACTGCACTACAGCCTGGGCAACAGACCCTGTCTCAAAAAAAGAAAAACCTAAAAACAAAACAAAAACACTTAATAGTTTGCCTCTTTCCCTTAATATTAGACCATAGGCTTTTAGCTTTATAATTCAAATCTTTGTGTAAAATAATTTTTATAGCTAGATAATTTTTGTCAACTTGCTCCTATAATTTATGTAACCATTCCCAAAACTATTAGAATGCAATTTGTTTTGAATTTCACACTACTATAAAAATTGTTGCCCTTAATATCTCTGTGCTTAATATTTTATGCAATGCAAATCATTTCCTTAGGTTAGATTTTGTGGATTTCTTTTTTTTGAGACGGAGTTTTGCTTGTTGCCCAGGCTGGAGTGCAATGGTACAATCTCGGCTCACTGCAACTTCCACCACCTGGGAGGCTCAAGTAATTCTCCTGCCTCAGCCTCCCGAGAGCTGGGATTCCAGGAACCCACTACCACGCCTGGCTAATTTTTGTATTTTGAGTAGAGATGTGGATTCACCATGTTGGCCAGGCTGGTCTCGAACTCCTGACCTCAGGTGATCCACCCACCTCGGCCTCCCAAAGTGCTGGGATTACAGGCATGAGCCACTGCGCCTGGTCAATTTTGTGGATTTCTATAAGTGGAGTGAGTCAAAGACATGTATGGTAAAGCCTCTAGATACAAAATATTAGTACTTTAATATTTCTTTTACAAGGTATTTTGTGATGCATTACAATTAGCACTGTGTCTCAAATTGTGAGCTCTTCAAGTGCAAGATTATCTCATTTATATTGGTATCCCTAATGCCTAAGCTGCCAGATATGAATTCTATAAATATACAAATGTTCTAATTAGATAAATTATCAGTTGACAAACCCTGCTTCCTACAACACAGAAACCTGGGCAATGGAAGAGAATTTCTACAAGCTCCTATCTGCCTGCATGTGTGCCCTTATATTGTACCTCTAGTCCTAATACTACAGAAGAATTGTCCTTATTCTCAAAACTTACACCTATGTATTAGATCCCATTCCCTTCTTGCCTATAAGAAATTATTCTAGAATTCTCCACTCCCTAAAAACAAGAACATTCTCTTACATAACACTCCAACTTAAGATTTTACATTTGCTTGTTTTATCTTCTCATTCTCTCTGTGTATATAAATTTTCTGACACTTTTAAAAAACCATTTGAGAGTAAATTGCCAAAATGCAGACCTTTAGCCCTAAATTTTTCAGCAGTGTGAATTTCCTAAAAACAAGGACATTCTCTTATACAACCACAGTACAATTATTAAATTTGGGAATTAACATCAATATCATACCATCATTGAACCTATAGGACATTATTCCAATGATGTCCTTTACTGCCAATTATTCCAATGTGCTCTACAGCAAATTACATACTTCTTTGAAAAGAAACTTTCTCAATTATTTGGTTATCCTGAGGTACTCAGAATACAGAGGGAGGGAGTGACAGAGGGAGGGAGAGGAAAGGAGGATAAATGCTCAAGTCAGTCTCTGGCATCTTCCAAAGGTGAACAATGAGTTTTCTCCCTATTATCATAACTCATGGATTTAAACAAATTTTACAGTAATTACTGATTTTCAAATTTTCCTACAGTTTGACCAGTAGAGCTTTTTTGAGTTGGCTCTCCTGAATCTGATATAACCCCAATGGTCTTCCTTGATTTGTGATACATGGTGTTCCAGGCCCACTGTTTACATTTTCTGGCCCAGATGCCAAACTTGTCATTTCTTCAAGTAGCCCTGGTTCCTTTGGAGAGAAATGGTATTTATATACAGTACTGTGGGCTCATTCCTCCTGGTTTAAGTCTATTCAGTAGATAGAGCTAGAAAATATTTAAAAATTTCAAATGCTAAAAAATGTAATAAGGCCAGGAGTGGTGGCTCAGGCCTGTAATCCCAGCACTTTGGAAGGTCGAGGCAGGTGGATCACAAGGTCAAGAGATCGAGACCATCCTGGACAACATGGTGAAACCCCATCTCTACTAAAAATACAAAGTATTAGCCGGGCGTGGTGGCGGGTGTGTGTAATCCCAGCTACTCGGGAGGCTGAGGCAAGAGAATTACTTGAAACCGGAAAACACAAGTTGCAGTGAGCTGGGATTGCACCAAGGCACTCCAGCCTGGCGACAGGGCAAGACTCTGTTTCAAAAAACAAAAAAAGTCATGAATTCATGCTTATATTTGTTATTTATATTTAACTTTATTAATCTTATAGCTGTATTTCCATCTCCCATGTCTAAAATCTCAGTTCCCAAAGACAATTATTAAGCAAAGTATTCATTATTTTATGCAGAATACACAAAATGATTTTAAGAATACTCAACATCATCACCAACATGTTTACTACAAACAGTAAAGATGTGGCTGGCTGTGGTGGTTCACGCCTGTAATCCCAGCACTTAGGGAGGCTGAGACAGGTGGATCATTTGCAGTATGGAGTTCGAGACCAGCCTGGCCAACATGGTAAAACCCTATCTCCGCTAAAAACATGAAAATTAGCTGGGCATGGTGCTGCATCCCTATAGACCCAGTTACTTGGGAGGCTGAAGCAGGAGAATCACTTGAACCAGGAGGCGGAGGTTGCAGTGAGCCAAGATCACGCCATTCACTCTAGTCTGGGAGACAGAGCAAGACTCAGTCTTTA